CCTCAACAGTCTGCATATATATATATATATATATATATATATATATATATATATATATATATATATGCATATATATATATATATATATATATATATATATATCTTGTGCGCGCTCTTAGTCTTATTGCTTTGGCTACCTAAGGGTTGCGTTTCCTGCGCCCACGCGGTAGACAATGATAAATAGACTTCCCTAATTGGCAGGGCGTTGGTGATCAGCAGCACAATGCTAGCCGCCCTTTGGTACAAATCAGTAACTTTGGCCCTTAATAAGGAGGCAGTTCGGTCGCTTAAGAGGCAGATAACCGCCCTGCTGTGGAAAGGTAACTGCGAGTTCCGAACGTTATCAACAGGGTGGCTTGGCTGTCAGTAATTGGGCCCAAGGACAAAGGAGGTCTTGAGATTTTAGACCCAAGCACCCAAACGACAACACTGATGGTGCAATGGTTTAGGAGGCTGGTGTTCACTCGGGACCTCCCTTGGTATGCCCTTGCGCTATAACAAATTGCTCGACTGGCCCCACAAACACCGCAAGGGGTTAACCCCCTGACCTGGTTAGAACACCGCTTCTTGTCTATACCACAGCACTCCTGAACTGGTCAGACCTCGAGCCGAAATATAACCCGCAGCGACCTGACCAAAGACGATTTTTTAACCCGTGTTTTGAGAGTCTGGCGCCAACTCCCGTTGTCGGATTGGTCCGCACCAACTAGATAAGAGGAGGTGGCGCGACGGCCCCTTCTTGGGAATAGAAGTATCATGGATTGGAACAAAAGGCTATACCGCAGCTCGAACTCCCCATGGAATAGCTGGGTCAAAAAGGGCATAATCAAAGTTAAAGGCATTTTGGATAAAAAAAATAGTGATTGGAAAACGGTGTCACAATTGAGGACCTTACCGAAACACAGTCATAACATACAAGGGAACATGGAATAAAAAACCTTTGCTATCCCCCGGGATTGGGTGCACATTCTGCGCAAGGAGCCGCGACTGGTAGAAGGGGATTGGGTAGCCACTCTGGGCGACACAGAGAGTGTAGGTAGTGTGATGGATGCATACGCTGACGTACTTGCGTTCCCCTCTTGTAAGATCCCGAAAACCATAAAGCACATATTTTTGCAGTGCCCTGGGGCAATCCTACATGGCGCTGGTGTGATAGGATCTGGAACCTTTTGGATACTGGATCTGTTTGGCCATGGGATTGGAGGGTGATACTATGTGAGGCATAGGCCTCCACCACATGTAGTACCTTCACAAACAATATGTTTAAGATAGGGAGGAGAGTTGTTATGT